AATATTTTGCACAAGGATCTTCACTTAACTGCNAAACAGAGTATAGTTTTAGTTTACTATTATTCAAAGAAACATTTTCCTTAAGTTATGACATTAACCTAAAAAAACAATATAATCCATAATTAAAAATAATCAATTTCTATATTCCTAGAAACAATAATACATTAAATAAAGTCGTTAGTATCAAACATATCAGTTTAAATCATAAATATGTCATCACCTTATTAAACGAAAAGGTATTTACTTTTCCTAAAAAATATATAACTAAAGAAACAACGTTTGCACGGATAGATAGATAGATAAACGTTCTGAAAAATTACAATGGAGGACTGCCATTGTATCCTTGAAAATGATATCAAGAATGCTGAAAGTTCCGCAAAGTTAAAGTTAAAACAATAAAATAAATTGTAGCAAACCGTCCGCCCAGCAAAAAATAACTTCGCGCGAGATTAAAAAACAAAAGAAGAAAACATCGTTCCGGAAAAGAATATTATGTGTATTGTGCTGCATCTGTTTACACAATGTAATAAATTTACTTATTTTCCCCTGTTTTGTTACCCTAACGAGCAAAATAACTTCATCTAGATAAGTTCCCATTTAATTATCTTCGTAAATATTTTCTTTGCATTTGCCGACAGACGTAGTTACTTCACGAGAACAAATTGGGTTCCGCCAATTTCCTGACTGGGAAATTTCGTAAATTAGGTTAGTTCTTTCTTTTATTTTCACCATCTCATTAATTATTAAAACGATTATTCCTCCGCCGCTACCGTCGCAGGATATTTTTCTTGCAGCGATGTCACGGACCCGCCCGCCGGTAACAAAATCAAGTCTATTAGAATGTCTTATAATTAGAATGTCAACTGTTAAGTAACTCGATTAAAATTTCCTGCGTTAAGTGACATTTTCATTATGAGAATTGTAGTTTGTGCATAATAGACGTCTTATTTATCCCGATCTGGTTTTCTAAGTCTGCAGCAAACACGGTGAAGATGCGCTTTCAGCTTTCAAAGTTTCATTCAAGTTCTGTAAGAATTTAATTTAATTAATTCTTTAAAAAACTTAGCTCAGTTTTCCACGTTAGTAACGATTAAAAATTGGGGAGACTTTACTGAACGGAAATGGGATAGATTCACTTACAGGGTGATCCGAATTTTTGCTACGAAAATTCGGGAGCTCTTAGAGAAGTAGAAAAAATGGCACTTTGCTTAGTAGTTTTGTTTAGGGAAACAGGGCGCTAATTTTTTTAAAACAAGTATTCGAGATGCCTAAGATTTTGAACAAATAGATATTAAAATGAAAACGACAATACATGAACAGAATGACTTTCAACACGAAAATATTAAGTCAAACTAGTAACGTAGGTATTAGTTTTTTGTCATTTTTAAGATGCAATTTTATTTAAAAGGAAAATTATACAGGGTGTGCGGAAAGGTTATGTCAAAAATGAAGGGGCATATAGGGGAGCTCAAAATATTTATAGTAGGTACTTCATAATCGGGCTTCGTTGTGGAGTTATTCGCCTTCAAAGAAAGAAGTTTGAAAAACAAATTCCAAATTTATACATATTTGACAGCGTTGCCAAATTTGGCATTTTTCTTTCATTCATTCATTACCATGAGTTATTTTAATTGCCCAAATTTCATTGTAGTCATAATAACGACTTAGAAGTTATAATTGGAATTTGTTTTTGAAACTTCTTTCTTTGCAGACGAATAACTCCACAATGAAGCCCGATACGAAAAAATGTTTTATGAAGTACTACAACTATTTTGAGCTCCCTTATATGCCTCTTCATTTTTAACATGACCTTTCCGGACACCCTGTATGTATATAATTATTTATTTATGGCAATTTCAATTAGTTTTTTATTCAACTGGGTACCTATTTCTGCCTCAATCAAAAGAGAAAATAAATAAATAACCCTTTAATAAATCAACCCTTTGATTCCTTTTGTGCAAAGGGTTATTTATTTTTATTTTCACAGATTGATATGCGTCTTTTTTTAGAGGCATAATCAATTTTTTGCCGTTTTACAATTTTAATGCAACTTGTTTAGACCTGAAATTCCGTTAACGTCGAAAGTAATTTTATTAACTTTAATAAAAATGAGTTCAAAAGTAACATTTTATTCGTAGCATTGTCGCACCCGACTCAGTTTTGTACCACAACATCTAGCTAAACAAGAACACAAAGGCAACGTCACAATCAGATATTGTATACGGAATGTATGGAATTCCGTAAATAATTTGAAAAACTTCACATTTCATAAAGCACGGTTGTGCTCGACTGGCTGTAGAAGATTTAAAGGGAAACAAGGAATTTTTATTTAATATCGTACTGGGACGACGGACCGGTTGATTAATTCCCGATATTGGGAAATCACCAAAAGGGTCAGTAATGTTATAAAGCAACTTCCTAAAAATTTCCAAGCGGTTTGCAGGCAACGTTTGGTAAATATTGAATTGTCTCGTTCGTCGTCAATAATGTAAATAACGGAATGAACGTCTTTGAGATGTATTCAGTGGAAAAATCCTTTTGGTTAAGATACACGCTTGGAATGAAAATCTTTTAAGAAAGCGTATAAATATGTTATTTAGATTTAATTACAGATGTTACTTTTAAAAGGCATAAATTAAGTGCAATGAAAATAATTTCTAAACATTTTAAAACCAATTTCTTAATTATGAATTCCAATAAAGGCAGTCCTGAAATAAAATTATTTTTAATTAAGTACACTTAACATGTTTTGTAAATTTGTTCTACACTAAAATAAAATTTACATTTATTCCATTCCATTTAGGCCAGATTAAGTAAGTCTATTGTCCCAAGAATAAAAACAAAATAAAATTTGAACGTAGCTAGACAGTTGTAGTGTGTTTATTAAAATGTATCTTAAATTTTTCACGTACGTTTATCCAAGTAGCTTCAGGCTATTAACGATAAGATTTGATACATGCCCACTTATTTAGTATTACTGTAGTTTTCAGAGTTCATTTATTATCGTGGTTCATTATTTACATTATTCTCATGAGGCCTATGTGTGTAGCAATGCAAAATTAAGGGATATTGTATTAATTTCTCGCAAATAAAGAGAGAATGTAATAACAGCTTTTCTTTTGTATGCAGAATGCTTTCCTAAAAAAACTTTTCTGATTAGCGTCGTTTACCATTGCGCAGGAAAATAATATTTTTATTCCCATATCATAAAAATAAATCTTATTAATAGTTCTTTAAAATGAGCCGTCGTTTCTTGAAATCAATTAAGGCATTTAGAAGTTATGACAATTTAAAAATGTCAAGATGGCGTCCTATATACTGGCGTTGCTATGGAATTAACAAAAAAAAAGTTCATACAAACCTTGTGAAGGGGTTTAACAGTGTATCTAAAAAATGTATTTTCAACTTAGGTTATTTAAGTGAAATTTCGAAAAACGACAATTTTCTGTAACACTTGCGCCCCCTAGCGGTGAAGTTACAAACTTGAAAATATTTTAAATCAATTTCTTTTGGCCGTATTTGTTAATAGATTTTCTATTTCGAACATAAATTTAATTGTTATTATTGATTTACTTTAGAAATAGAGAGGAATAATTTTTATTTCTTTTTTACATTGTGGAATTGTACATCCTATATCTTTTTGTTGTGAATCAACCTGTATATCATTCTCGCTAAATACGCACCTACCTTTATATCCAGTATTTACTACTTGTAATGGAATATCCAGACTAGCAAAAAAATAATTAGAAGAAACTGGCAGATAACTGGCAAATAACATTAACTTCAAAACACTTCCACCCACAGACGAAAACAAAATGTTGCTAATAGAAATTCTATTTAACACACCATTATTGTTTCTTGGTTTATTATATACCTAGTTTCTCTATTTTTCATAAAAGCTTATGCTGATGAAAAATATATTTGTTTGTCGTTCGTTAAAATATTTTTAGTCTCTCAATGCAATATACATATTAACCAACCTCTCCATTGTCAACATATTTATTATAACCAGTTCGATTTGAGCCTTGGCTTTACTACAAATTACGCCAAGTTCCTTGCGAAATAAGAGTGCGCTTTTATCAGATAAGTAGACAGGTTGCAATGAAATCAACTGCAGGCTTTAGTTCATTAATACTTTTCTTACATTAGCTTCAAGATTAGATTTAGTAAATTAAAAAGACATCTAGTCGCAGGTATTCCTTGAATTAATTAAAGTGGGAAGAGCTAATATTGCTGCATAGGAAATATGTAATATTTTCTATTTTTCATCTAATCGATCCACTTCAAAGATAAGGTTCGATACACAAACGTACACTAAATTAAAAATAATTTAAAACATTTTTATGTAACAAGAAATATAAATTAAAACAGGTTTAATGATAAAGTCAGCTAAATCTAAATTAACAAATGGAAACGAGAACTTGTTACTGCTTTATTTTATTTTAGGTGAAATTACAGGATTACTACACATAATCTGCGTTTACACATGGGTTGACATGTGATAATGGTTTTAATTTTGCACCTGGATGTTTACTTATGGAGATTTATTGTCGGAGAGCAGTTAAATCTTTTTTGTGGCACGCTGCGAATTCAATAATAATATGGGACGACGAAGAACTAATTAATAATTGTCTGCATCGCGTTCGGTTTAATCTCACAATTTAAATATTTATTACACTGCTCGATATGAATTTTATCGAATTTTAAATTTATTACAACGCTAATTATTTTTTAGAATTAAGCATAAAGAATTTCAAGAAAGTAATAAATATTGTATTTTATGGTATTCTATGCACGTTATGTCAATTTTTTCTCGGAAATGGAGTTTAGGACCCATGTCATATAAGGTTTTTTTGTTTATTTAAATGTATTCTATCGCCTGTTAAAATTAAAGCTGTCAAACTTCTAACATCCTGTATAATAAAAAAAATTTAGTTCGTGTTCTTATGCATAATTACTTTCGATAATGTGAAAATTACTAATAACATTTTTTATTTCAGTTTCACCGTACGATCCGTAATGGCGCCTGTTAGTCAGCTCTTGGTGTATTATGTTACACCCCAGGGTGAGCCTGTCAGTGATGTTATCAGTTTCGACGTCAAACTGCTACACCGACAGGTATTTATTACTTTTTACTTAATTTTCATACATTCATAACTTTCACCCCATTACATGCCAAACCAATTAATCAAAATTATGTGTAATACTACTCGTATAGTTTCGTGTTAGTAACACCTGATATCCGTTATTCCATTACACCATTTCGCCTAAAGAAAGAAATATGAAACAGGATAATATATTGATATTAGTAGTTAAAAAATTGGGAGGATTACAGGCGATGAGATGTACTTACCTGGCGCCAAGGTGTTAATGAACTTATGTCAAATATTTTTGCCACATGTTCGTTATGTCAAAATAAGGTAAATACACGGATTTGCGTCAAGTAAAATGTAATTTTAAAATCTAACTTACAACATTGCAAGAAGCCACCTTTTGAGAACTGCTGATTTTCATAGAAGATTTTCCGTGTACCCACTATTTGCTTGCACACACGCTTCAGCGCGACGTATCCAATTCGTTCGAACACGTTGCAACATTGCCACGTCCTCTGGAATCGTATTATAAGCTTCGGCAATACGATGTCGCAGTTGGTGATGTCACGAACTTCCGTGGCATACACAACACTTTTCACATATCCCCACAAAAAGAAGTCTAAAGGGGCGAGGTCCGGGGACCAGGGGGGCTATCTAACTAGGCTGCCGCAGCTTATCCAGCTATCGGGAGAAGTTATGTTTAGAAAGTCGCGCACTCTCCGAAAAAAGGGAGCGGGGCTCCGTCGTGCAGTAACCACATATTTTGCCGAACTTTTAATGGGAAGCAAGCGATTCTGCAAAAAATCTATATATGAAGCACCGTCTAAGCGTCTAGGAAATTCAAAAGGTCCTATTAAAGTGGCATTAACGATACCGGACCACATGTTCACTGAAAACTGTTGCTGAAACCGAGACGTATTTCGTATGGATTTTCGATAGTCTAGTGGTGAGTGTTGTGGACCTTACGCACACGATTTCGACTGAAACATGCTTCATATGTAACAAGTATTTGCGCTATAAATTGAGAATTTCTTGCATGTTCCTGAAGCACCCATTCTCAGAAGTAAACGCTTGAAAACGTTGATTATGGAATGAGTACAATTAAGCTTTTCGTAATATCCGCCACACAACCACACAACAGGATGCGAAATATTTACTTGCTGTGCGATATTTCTTGTGCTACGATGCGGATCTTCTGCGACGAGATCTAAAACCATCTCCTCGACATTTAAGATTCTTAGTGGTCGCCCTGAGCCACCGTCGCGACCTCGACGCGGTTGTACTTCACCGGTGTCCAAAACTCTTTGCGCTACAGCAACAAATGTTTGCGGTGCGGGGACACGATATCTTGCACGGTACACTTGACAAGCTTTGTGAGCATTTTCGGTTGCTTCACCATAAATTATGAGCATATCGCGCCATTTTCAAAAGAAAACTTGGAAATACGGCTATTAAAAGTACTCTCGAAAAACAGCACAGCAATCACTACAACAATGTGTTACAAACTGACTTTCGAATACAGTCCGGCTTCATATGAAACCTACAAACTTGTAAAAAGTGATTTTTTGTAAGTACTCGCCGCGATAAAATACACGTAATTCAGCAGTTCCAAAACAGTTTTAAACACATTTTTAATTAGCTTTATTCTCTATGATCTTAAACTTCCGATACAAGTTTCTGACATCAGTTAACTCAGTTTTTATTCCTTTTTTCATCCCTTTAAATGTTTGACATAAGTTCATTAACAGCCTGTATACCTACTTTTAAATAACAGCACAGGCCGTAAAAGCCTTAAAACCACTATAACTTACAATTTGTTGCATATCATGCGCATGCACCACATTGATTTCTATTTATAAATACATAAAAAGATGTTATTCAGGTTGTGGTAAATTAACATCGTTGATTTGTAATTGTTGTTCGGTAAGCATCTTTTAATCAAAAACTTGTAAACTTTTAAACTATGTATATAAATTTACCAAGGATGAAATGACAAGATTAACTTTAGAGTTTAATAATCATAACTTCACTGGACTTTCTAAATCTAGTCCAAACTTGGAACTCGAATAAAAGTTATTGTGTAAGCAAACTTAAAACTTTCTGGGCTTATAAAATTTTATTAGTGGGATTCAAACAATAGAAGCCTTCTATAATACTCAAGCGTGCTATAAATATAAAACTAAATATTTATCCAAATGACAAGTACCTATTTGACATTGCTGCTAAAAAAATGCATGTTTCAAATTTCATATTTTGTCACAAATTACAGCAAAGTTTCAGAAGTTAACCGTCAGATATTAGCTTTAAAGAATTGAATATTATTATATTTAATTTTATATTAAAACACAAGTACAGAAACAGAAATTCATTATTTCATAAATTGGTGACTTTGGACAAAAATCCCAAAACATATCAATTTTTACTTTTAAATGTGCGTTCTGCGAGATATTTGTTTTACATATGAAGTCACCTGTATGACAGTGATGACGTCATCGACGTTTTTTTAAATACAAATGTGGGTCATCGGGTCTTGTAATTCTCAAATCAACCATATCAGTAAATTTAGGTAATAGAATTTCGTATAGTGCCAAAGAAACAATTATAAAATTACAGTTAACAAATTACTTCAATAAGGTAAATGTGGTTTTTTAAGTTTACCGATAAGAAATCTAAAAATAAATGTTTACCTCTCCAAAAGCAAATGAGATAAGACCTCTACGGGGATAGAAACACACGTTGTAAGTTTCTTACTTGATTATTGCCTTTTCAGAAATGTAAATGTATTATCAGAAGGCTACATTCAAATCGACTTAATTCACGTGTCAGTCAAGTAGTTAATACTACTAGAAGTATTTTTTATGAACATGAAGCTTACTGAAAAATGCATTATTTGTCGCAAGATGGTGCATTCCCACACTGTGCTGTGTTGGTAAGAAACTACTTGGACAACGCCTTTATTACTTATCTGCGAGCCCATCAGCGTTTCCTCCACTGAATTAAATAATTTATTTGTCTCTGTACGGAGTGTTAATAATAAGTTTTGCCAAACTTTAACGGCGTATTCTACCGATGAAAATAATCAATTTTTGCCCTATAAAACATTTTGTTAGGATGCGTTTATTAATTTTCAGACAACTAACAACAGATTTTAATTAAAAAAAAATATGGTATTCAATTATACAAATATTAAATTATCGGATATACAATTTACATACGGTAGAGAGAATAGCAATGCTAGACAAGCTGAACGACTTTATAGACAGACTTTTCTAATAGAAAATGATGATAAACAGTAACGTATACAGGGTGTCCCAAAAGAGACGCCCGTCCTTCTGGGTTTTGATTAAGGGGACAAAAACAAATCGAAAATCAAGAGTGGAAAATTTTCCGATTGTTTTTCTTTGTTGAGTAATTCAAAAAAAATATTCAAACAACTGAAAATAAACATTTTGGCTAGGTTATTAAATAATTATGTAGTTTAGAGCTGTATTTGCTGCAGCTGCCATTATTGGATGACGATCCGTTAGAAGTTAGACTAAATTATTGGTTGGATGACATGATGGCGCTCCATCCATTATGGTTTACGAGTATGAAATTATCTGAATCAAAACTTCTCAAACAGATGGATCGGAAGACGTGGACCATGGCCTCGTAGATCACCAGATCTGAATCTCCTTCTTTTGGGTTATTTAATAGAAAAGATTTACAGCGACGCTGTTGTAAATATACACCCATATACACGCTACTGTCGCGTTAATAAACCAAGAGATGTTACAAAGAGTTCATGCGTCAATGTTGAATTGTGATAATCTTTGTGTTGAAGTAGAAAGCAAATTATTTGAACACCTTTCGTAAAAACACTTTCTATTATTTAAGCACATTATGGTTTTAGTTTTTTCCTCTACATTTTATAAAACTTTTATTATTAAAACGTTTTTCTCTATCCTTTTCAGGTTAAAATAATTCCTTACATCCAGATACAACCGACAAGCGGAAACTATACTCACCTACTATTGGTTATAAATTATATGTCTTGGTCCCCATATGCACAGACCTCAGTTTTGAGACAAAAAAATGTATTTTCAGTTTTTTAATTTTTTGAACAATGTTTTCAATAACTCAAGAAATAAAAACAATCGGAAAATTTTCTACTCTTGATTTTCAATTCCTTTTTGTCTCCTTATTCAAATCCCAAAAGGACGGGCATTACTTTTGGGACACCCTGTATAAGTATCTTCTTGTTCGGTTTCTCAATTATCCAAAGACCAGTAAATTTTACGAATACTTTACAAGAATACTTTATTGCCACAAATTAATTGTACATTTTAAAAACATTTAAAATTATTTAAAAAACCAGTGGCGTACGATTTTTTTTTCAAAAAAGGTCCCTTCCTCCCCCAATAACTACGCCACTGGAGTGTATTTTGGAATAAGTTATCCATGAAAAAATATTCCCTACTAAAAAATTGTCATCCCCCAAATTTTATCACTCAATCTTTTATGCCAGTGAAGTTACAGGAAAAATAATATAAATATTTTAAACCTTTAACACCCTGTATCTCCGTAGGGAAGCGTCCTATCAAAAAATTTTATAGGCAAAATTTGATTATTTTTATCGGTAGAATACGCCATTAAAGTTTGCCAAATCTTATCATTAACACTCTACTTATATACCTGCAGATAGGTAATGTTCTCAAATAATATTACAAAAAGTCAGTTTGCAAATTAATCTTTTAAATTACTAGCACCATTCTTTATGATTAACGAGATAGACGGATAGAGACCTAGCTCTCCAGATTTAACTCCTCTAGACTTCTTTTTAAGCGGATACTTAGATGACGTCGATACTGTCACACAGATTACGTCATAGGTAAAACAAATATCTCTCAGAACGCACTTTTAAAAATAAAAATTGATTTCAGCATTTTTGTCCTCACTGATTTACGAAATAATGAATTCATTCTTTTCATTTGCACCGTACTGTATGTATTTCTACTTCGGTAATGTTGTTAAATTTGTGTATACAGTTTTGGTAAAATAATTATGGAAATAAAAACAATAAATCGTTACTTTTCAGTTTTAATGGAAACAATCATATTTTATTCGAACCGCTTTCAAATGGAAATTCAATTAAGTCGCATTAACAGAGCTTTGACATTGTGAATTATTAATTAGGAGAGAATTCTACTCAATTAAACACCAGATTAACACATAAAATGTACCATCGCTTTATTAACTGAACAGTTGATTTTATTACAGGTGCAAAACAAATACTTCTGATTGGGACTGAATTATTATGTCAATATTAAATAAATCAACATATGGCAATCATTTATATTAATAAAAATTATAATGTATAATAATAACGAGTAATAATAACAGCAATTAATTTTTCAATTTCCAAATAAATCTGAAAAGATGAATTTTATTTAAATTATTTAACATTAATTTATACAAATAAATTATTTGTTATAAACTAGTATACTTAGCAAGTAAGTGACAACATATGTCGATAAAATCGCTCCTTAAAGCTTTACACATTAAAGAAACCCCCTGTACGTACAGGTACTATATCAAATTTTATTCAAATCGGAGGTAAACTACTGAAATGTAAACTTTGAATAGAAATAAACATAACTTACTCAAGGATATCTGATATCAATATACCTACTGCAACATTTTGTATTTTTAAAACACAAAGTGTTATCCAATATAATAATTACTTATAATCCAGTCAAAATATACAAAAAAATTGATAAGTTTACAATAATTCGCATAGAGCTGAAAATTGGTACAGGTCTTAAATACAGTATTATACAAAAATCCCCACCGATCCTTTCTGCTAAAAAACTTATTCAAGGTCAAAGGTCACATTCTACATAATATGCACACATTTCCTCACCACCGTGGTATACATGGCGAATTTTTTTTAACGTGGTTTCTCCTATAGACATAATTCACGATTCAGTTTTATTAGACAGTATCTTATTAATTAAAAAAATAGCACTATTGGTAATGATTAAAGTGGAACGGCTTATTGTTGATTTCGGGAAAATTTTAGTCTGACTGATAATCTCCAAATGCTACTTCAACAGTAATGTCTTCCTCTTCCTCTTCTTGCTGGATATCTGTAAATTGTTCTAAGAAGAAAGATACATCAGTTGTCTCCTCATTGATGTCATAAAAATCCTCATCTGATGTATTTGATTCAATATTGGCTTTGACAATTGATACATACTGGTAACCAAAATAACCCGACTTTTCTACAGCCACAGTTTGTACTACAATCATTTTTGCAATTGCAAAAAATGGTGTTAAGAAGTCTTTCTGAAGCAGGTGGGAGTAAAGTTTGAATTGGCTCCAAAGTATTATCTATTAATTTCCAACCCCAGTCTTCTGGGTCGAGTTGATTGTCTAGCCACACTTGAACTTGGTAGTACACATCGTGTGTACTATAAGTGTTGATAAGCAGAAGCAGATGTTGGAGGAAGTCAAGATAGTTGTACTCTTTTATTGTTCCGTGTATTTTTTACAAAACTTAAATGTCTATACTTCTCTATTGTAGACAATTGCGTGATCTACAAGTTTTGTCTGACCTATTTTTACTATAACACTTACCGTTTACGAGAAAAACGCAAAATATCGATATATTTGACCTTTGACCTTGAATAAATTTTTTAACAGATGTAGGATCAGTGGGGATTTTTGATGTATGTATTGTATTTGTAATAGTTTATTTAAGACCTGTACCAGCTCTATGCGAATTATTGTCATTGAAATGTCTGTTTTGACTGGATTATTAGTGTAGCTTTCACTTAAAAATAACAAAATAAAACATATTATCTGCAAAAAATTCGCTCACAGTTACTAACATGTGTAAGTCTAAAGGGAAAACATGTACACAAATTTTGATTGCTGTTGATTAATGGCAGATCTGCAATCTAAACCTAAAACATATCCAATTCTGATGTTATTCCAGGTTTACGTAAATCTAGAGGAACGGGAATGGTGGCTTCCCGGTCAATCCCTGGATTTGGAAGTTGAGGCCGAACCTTCGTCACTCGTGTGCCTGCTGGGCGGCCGCGCGGGGGGAAATGGAGATATCAGATTTGATCCCCGGATTAGGTAAGCAACAAAAGACGGTCTTATTTCAGTCGTTCGGCCGGTGGCGTCAATTAAACCTGCCCACACCGTAAACAAATATTGAATGAGTGGATATAAGCGCCAGGCTAATTTTTTACTTGTTTTAACATTGTATGTCTTCTTAACATTGTATGTCTTCATCTACTTTACCGTTGCGGAGGGGTTTTGTTAAATATATATAAAATTGATTGCAAATTTTCATAATTCTTATAATTTCCGGAGAGACATACAGAGTATCAGAATTAAGACGGATTCTTCTATAGCTCTGGTAGTGTCAATAATTTAAAAAAATTCTTAAAATAAAAGTTGCACCAAATCACGGATTTAGTTACAAGATACAAGTTGTTTAATTTCTTCTGAGCATTACCTATCTTCATGTTTTCAAACAGAACTTAAGACTTTCTTTGTTAAAAGATACTTAGTCCAAAACGTACTGTATTGGTGTTAGGTGATGTTTTTAAAAAAAATGGCGTTTTCACCATTCTAGAAAACATCAAATATATCTGAAACTGAGCATAATGAGTACAAGATATGGATTTTAACATATGTTCAAACATGAAAAAAAAAACAACTTTTTTGCACTGCTAACTTAATACCTTCCAAATAGAATTATAGACCATAGAAGTTCCAAATTTCGGATAACGATTAATTTATTTTTTTAAATGGAACGCTTATAGCATTTAATTGTGTAAACTGGGGTTCTGTATTTGAAAGAAATTGAATGTCAGGATGAAAAATGTCAAATCTAAACATCCTGTTTGCAAAATTCTTCTCATCAAAACTAAACAAAAACATTAATAACATTTTTTCCGGAAACTATTCCGTCAATTCCTCTATCATTCCTCAAAAATTGGAGATGAAACAATGTTTTGATCAAATACTCAAGAAGTTACTCTTATAGGCACATAAAATATGAACAAAAAAATAAGAACTAGAAGTGATCTGGGAAGCTTCAAACTCATTAAAGAGATTCTTTGACAGATTTGGATAGATCATTTGATTTACATATTGCCTAATGTAACATTGAATTACATTCTCAATATCTAGTAAACGCGCCAAGATCACTCGTCAGCAGAATCATGAGGCATGATGACAGTAACCAAGAATCACTAAAATTATGTGGATGGATTATAAAAAACTTATTTATTTTTATATTATGAGCGAAATTGATAATATTTTTGATAAAATAAAACACCAATCAGAGCGAATTGCGTCACATCTATGTAAATGTCATTTTGTTTCATTTGCACTTCTGCAATATCCGCAGTATTTATCTTCTTTTAAATATTTGGTATTTTCCAACTATCAGTTGCTTAGTTTTGTGTTACCAAAACCATAATCAGGAAACGTTAACCATGGAACAAGGCCATGAAACGCGATGGAATGTTGGAGAATGAAGTGAGGAAAACTATCAGTTCCAAACTGGGGAAAAAATTTAAAAAATGTGGTATAATGCTTTACAAAAACTGTCCCATGATAGCAGGAAAGACAGTATTATTGAAATTAAGTGGACCACGAATATGAACACATTTAAAAATTATGTGGAAAAAGAAAAACCGACACAGAAGATTTATGTGCAGATAGCAGCTACAAATATATATATATAACAGGACTTCAAAAGGGCTATTTAGGTGTAGCTGATTACAACTACAGTACAAATAAAAAAATAGAAATAATTAATGTTACATTTGATGACAACTATGTAACAAATTTTCTTAATGTTTAAAGTCTCTTCTTGGAAAAATAATGTGTATCCATTAATATACCAAAGTACAATTTGAGAGTAAATAAAATGCATATACTATTATAGTAACATTGTATTTTTATTTAACTAATGAGTCTTGCAACACAAAATATTAGCACCTTATGTTTACTGTTGACAAACATAGATGTGACGTCCGTTTTTGTGTGAGTTTAGACTTAAAATTAAAATGCTAATATTTTTCTACTAAATCTTTTATTTTCTACAGAAATAAGACATTTTTGGAAACAGCAAATACTTACTAACATCATAGAACAGTTTTTTAAAATCTGTCATCATGCCTATTCAATCAATATTCCATAGATGAGACAACCGATCAACGACATAGCTACTGGCAAACAGTGACCACAAATGCATAGATACTATGCCTAATGTCCAGTTCAAGCTTACATATCGCTTTAGAAAAATCGTTGTTACTGTTTTAATCTTGTATTTGTATTTTGACGAGAGGAAAGTTTGTCGCAAGAATTATACTTCACCATGTACAATCCGAAAATGTCGAAAATATAAGTGTGATGGCTCATCTTTCGCTAAACTAGAATGCAGCAATAAATTCATTGTGACGTAGCGTAAAATCAAAAACAAAAAAAATAATATCCCTGATATGGTTGGAAGATAATAGGTATACTAAAATACATCATGCATTCGAGGTTGGTTGCCTAGTCGTCGTTTTGGGCTACTTGTCGTTTCAAAAGACATATCACACTCTTCTCCGAAACCATTATTAAGTCCTCCGTCTGGTTTTTATATTTGTTGTGTGCACTGGTCCATCGTGTTATGGAGGATTCTTGTCACTCACTCACTCTCAATAGAATTCTGGTATTAGTTAGGTCTATCAGTTTCCTATGTCTGTCCTTTATTTACTATGGCAATGTTAGAACATTGTTAGCGGTGTTGTGGCTGCCGATTTTTGTACGTTCGTGCACCAGAATGCTATGGACCAGTGCACACGACAAATATAAATACCAGCCAGAGGACTTTCTCTTCATTTTCCAAGTTTCTTCTGAAGGGAGAACTACCATTCTCTCCCGAAAAGTCTAAATGACGACGTAACAACCAACTCAGAAAATGTTCAACTATCGGCAACTCCATGGAAACTTGCAAATCCAATAATCACTCAACTACAGTACAGCGATGTGCTTCTAGAGTAGTCGATTACTGCCTAATTTAATTCAAACATAAATAATTAATCGTTTAAGAGGAAACATTTTATCTCTAGACAGTACGGCGCACTATCTTGTCGGACCAATATTTTACCTACACCTTTATACCAGAAACAACAATCTGCAACTAATTTAAATTAATGACGGATTTCTTTCCAGCGAAGAACACGAGCCGACATCCATAACAGGTGAGGTGGATTTCCTGGAAGCCGGCGTTTCGTTTTTTCAACGGCAGTGCATTAAGCGCAGCAATTCCGGTCTCTCCGCCGTCTCCTACAGGCAGCGGGGCTCCGGAGCGGGGCCTTCGAACAGGAGGCGGCCTCCCGAGAGCTTCGTGGGTGGGGCACCTTTTGATCAGCTCTGGCTCTGGAAGTGCTTTAATTATTCGTAAGTATTTTTGTCCTGCTGGTGATTTATTATATTGAATAGGTGCTAAGGGCGCGGAGCAGGCAACTTCGAGGGGATGACGGTGGATAAAAGGCGCCCGGATAGAATGGAGGTTGGAAGGGTGATGTGAAATATTTAAAAAAATCCTGTTGTTATTCACTGTGTAATTTGTTTTACTGTTATATTGTTCTCTTTTTTTCTTCTTAGAGCAATTTTCATTTATTTTTCATACTTAGTTAATCTGGAACTAACAAGAAACACTCCAATATGGATGTACCATTCTACTCACTAATTATCATCAATGCAATTTTCTCTAGAAGGAAAATATCGAAGATAATTTAGCTAGTACGATGATTGTAATGATTAGTCTTTTGATATTATAAGAGAAAAAAATGGCTAGAGATTATAGCGCAGAATTCAGAAATATCGTTTAATTTCAAAGTTATGTTTTAAAATATATTATAAACAATTGTGATACATTATTGCAAACTAAAACGTTCATCTTAAAAGTTACTACTAAGTATTTATTGATGAAAAAGAGTAACAATAGTTGAAAAGAGTATTGAAAACTGCACCATAAATTTCAACAATTACCTGTTAATACAATCAGCACTAAACGCTAAGGCCGATTCTCACTTGCGTGCAAGGCATGTGCTCGGCACAGGCAAAGCACCGGCTCGGCAAAATATCTTAACCATTGTATCTTATGGGTTTTGAGGGGTGTAATTCACACTATACGTGCAGCGTCTCGGNCTGTAGTTATAAATTTTTGTATTTGCTGGGATGTTAGAATCTTGGACTTTTTTGGTTTGTATCCATCTGATGTGCGTTTCAAAAATGAACACAATTTTGGGTATTTACTGATGTCAACATTGTTTTTGAGGTTAAGTGTTGAACGGAGCATGGAATATATCGCCCACAAAGAAGATGGCTTCATACTTGCTGAAAGTTGTTGAAAGTAGGCGAGCAAAACGTTTTCGGAGTACATTTTTATTTGCTTTTCACTGCACCATTTGGAGAACAGATTGTAAGCCCGTTCGTACTGAATTCGCGATTTCTCGGGCAGCAAATTATTGGTGGCTCTAATCGCTTGTTCTCTAATTTCTGGGGGTGTGGCGGTAAATTCTTCATTTTCTTGTTCAATTGCTTCCATTATCTTGCAAATTACGAATCACTTACAAATGTAATAATTGCTTGTCAAAAGTCAAAGTTGACGTTTCGTTCGGCCATCACAAGACGTGACTAAGAAAACTTCGGCCCGTGATTAATAAGGCGGGAACATCCGAATATGGTTCAAACAATGTTTAATGATTTGTCGTATTTAAACTGATATTTAGCGTACCGATTGTCCGTGTAAAATGTGCTGTTTTAGAGATGGGAGTAGAAAAAATATATTATAAACAATTGTGATACATTATTGCAAACTAAAACGTTCGTCTTAGAAGTTACTGCTAAGTATTTATTGATGAAAAAGAGTAACAATAGTTGAAAAGAATATTGAAAACTGCACCATAAATTTCAACAATTACCTGTTAATACAATCATCACTAAACACTAAAGTTAATAATAACTTATAGCATACGTATCATGATGTCGACAAAAAAAAAAGTTTTTATAGCTAACTACAAGTACCTTCAATATCTCATTATTTTGTCTTTTAGTTCTTTATATTGATGTCGCTGGTGAATAATTTCTTTTATAATATTTTGTTTACATTATTATTCTTAGGTACATCGTCATGTTCAATTATAAGAAGTAGACAGATCTCAGGGAGATCTCTCAGAGAGGAATTCTGTAGATGACTTTTAGAAGCAAATCGCAGTAACTTTGTTGACAAATTTCATGTTACAGCCGAGGCTTCTTTTAGAAGCAACGAAATCTGCGTCTACGCAAATTTTCTGTCTGTGTATGGGCTTACCTAGTACGAGATTATTTTGCTAGGTCATTTATTCATATCAGAGTATTTATATCTTTACTTTACCCCTGGGGTCTATTTAACGACATTTGAAATAGAATTTTGGCTACAGTAACAGTTTTCTGATTATATAAGACATAATTCTCGCCACTTGCAACATTTTTACGTTTTCAATTGACAAGCGAACAAACACATTAAAATAGTTCCTGTAAATAATAGTTTGGTGGGCTCCTTTTAAATTTAAATTCTGCAAAGACTATATCTATCCAAACTAGCTTTAGAGATTAGTTCAATAGATATGAATCTGAAGCATGAGATAAAAAGACAGTCAATAAAAAAAATAAATCTTAATACCAACTGAATATAATCTTTAAAACTTTGAAGTTTGGTTTATGTTTTACTTGATTTGTTTTTATGTTCAGGTATTGCAATGGTAACTACCACAAATTGTAACTAAGAATGAAGTAAATAAAAACAGAAATCAAGATATTTACAATATTTACTGTGAATCAAAGAAAATTGACAAATTTTGTACAGTAACATCCAAAATATTTACAATAAAACTATATTAACCAAAATAAAATATATGAGCACTTTCTGATGTTATAAAAGGTACGTGGATTACAATGAGGATGTTATTAGTAGGTTATAGGTTTATAAAATTAGGTAATATTGGCAGAAAAATAAATGTTATAAAGGAATGTAATTATAATGTAACCTAATTAACTAAAATTTCGTTACAAGAGCAATTACTACCAAAATATAGCGATTTCTCAACCCTTACTACGAGTGGAAGCACTTGTCAGAATTTCGACACCATTCTTCCACATCTGCCCAGGCAGTAGTACCGCTTTCAAAATTACCGTTGACTCCACTACTGAAGAACATTTGTTTACCATTACAACTATCCTATACATTTAATCTGCTCGCTCGCGAGTAAGAAATCCCATGGTGCCTAGTAACTTTCATCCTGTCCACTCTTTTTGTTTTTCATTAATAAATGGAGATCAAAATCTAGGATTTTACTATGATTCTATATGTATTGTCCCATTCGTCTAGGCCTTCTGGAGAGCATGTTTTCTGGATAAGGCATCAACATTACCATTATCTTTATAAATAACTTTAAATTTAATAGACTTAGGACCTATGTCTTTCAAGAATTTTATGTTTATTTTGCAGTACTCTGTTACTTACTCATACTCGGTACTTATCCATTGGACGCCCTGTAGACCTAGTACTTTTCTGATCAAATCGTTTTATTCGTTATTTATAGAACATTTTACTCATTTTGTGAATATAATTTACCATTCTCGAACTACATTTCACTTATCTTTTATGAGGAATATTTTTATGAACCCCATTCATGGATATAATTTCTATATTTTTATTGTATTTCCTTTCAAGTTGCTAGATATTATTAATATTTCCTCTATTCGTTTTCTATAAACTAACAGTAATTATCATTTGTCAAACATCAGACCTGTATACCTAGATATACTTAATCGCTTTAACACTTTGATTCCCAAGCGTCAAAGGAATTCTAACAAATACAAATCAACAGTACGAGACACAGGTGTAATTCAAATTCAAAACGATACAGACGATTTTGTAATTTGTCTTCAAGAAGAAGCGATGCGATTTCAGGTGAGCTAATGACAAATGACGGTGTTGCTGGAAGTGAGCCACAAACTGGTGTTTTCAAGCTCTAATTAGGGCAAGGGATTAAGCATTTAATTATTCATTTAAATAGTTTTAATCGTAAAGATTTAATCAGATTTGCTGATAATTTGTGGTCATTAAGTGAGGTTCGTTAAGATTTTACCGTTATAAATTTCAAACAAATTAAATAGCTCGTTCTAGTTTTAATATTATTAAATTTATAATTTTATTGATACTGTAAAAATAATAATAACACTGTGTATTCAATCCAAGATCTCAATTTCTTTGGATAATACTAAAATGTTGTTTCCATTAGAAAACTTCAGATGAATCAAAATAAAAATCTAAAATTAATCCTATTGGCATGGGGATAGAAAGTTAATATTCCAGGATTAATTGGCCAAGCTTAAAATTTCAGTCCGTTTGGTAAAATTAGAAAATGAAAGAGTTCCATGTAGGAATGTCCGAGTGTATTTTGTTTTAGTGGTACAGGATACAGGGTGTTGAAATTTAAAAAACAAATCATATTTTGTCAAATACCTCTGAAGATGTTCGATTTAAAGTAGTGAAACTTGGACTTATCTAACAGGGTCATTCAATAAATTTTCGAAAACGTTCTTATTTTGTATACACAATGTATTGATCATGATTCGGCGATCTTGAAAATTTAAACTCAATCCGTTGAGCGGTTTTCAAACTATATGATTTTTAAAATGCGAATATTTGTCTGAGTCGTGGCAATGCAATGACGTCACCGCATGGGACGGTCAGCCGGCGAGGCGCTACTTCGAGAAGAGTTGCTGCATCTACAGATTGTTTTAGCGCTTGTATTAAATTTAAAAAATAGAATCAAATTTCGTAAAAGCAGATTGTTCTAATTTTCCAGAAGTAGGTTTCTTAATGGTTATGGATTTTTTTAATAAAAACCACGACTTTATCAGTGCTGAGATGAGAGGAGTGAAAATTCAAAGGTTACGTTTCAATAACACGTAAAGCTTCTTTAAAGTACGTTTGTAGCGAAAATAATAGACTATTGATTTTAGATCCGTACGACAAAATTACAGGGACATTATTATTTTCTTAGGCGTTTTCACACTAGTGCTCTCACACTGGGGAACAATACAATATTTGTAATTTTTTTCTGATCTTTATCTTCCATATTGCTAACAAAATTCGGTATCTTAACGTACTCAATAGAAACTTCGCAGGTACCTAAGCTGCGGCATCGGTTTCCCATGCGATGACGTCACACCTGTCGGTTTTGCGGATACTCAGCCCGTCAGTTTATGACTTTTTTTGGATGACTTGTAGGGGATATAAAATTGTATTTTTTTGCAGAGAGCCTTAAAATTGCAATATCTTTCCGCTAAGCAAATAAAAAAAAATTTGCTGAATGAGCCCATTAAAGATAAATATCCACAGAATC